CCTGCAATAATAGAGAGAAAATCCCAACAATAAGTTGTACCATGTTCATAAGTGATTAAACTTCTGTTAAAAACGCCACTAGGTTTGCAAGAAACCTTAGATCACTCACAATCCTCAAAGCATTATTGCCACAGGCTTAGGGGGCAATTGCCAACATCACTAAGAGGGTAAATTTCACTGGCTGACTGGCCAGGTTGCACTCCCAGGTGTGTTGAGTCAGGGTTTTCCCCTCCCAAGCAAGAGGTTTCCAGGATGTGGATTTGAGGCAACACAGCGTGTTGGTTAAATAGCAGTTTATGCGAAAGTAACTGCTCAATAAACAACATTTTCCACACATAGTTTTGAGAGATATTTGCAGAGAGTGAAGTTAAAATAACAAACAGTTGAAATTTTGGAAAGTCTGTCTGTTCCTGATTGCTTGGCCGCTTGCGTGCACAGCTGGGATTCTTAGTTTCTTGGGCTGGCTTTTCCCATAGTGCCTCACACATCCTATGGCCTTCACTGTCACCAGATGTCAGCATAACTAAATACCAAGGGTAGATTTTAAACCAATGTGCTTCACGGCACCATCTGCTCCACCATCGCTAACAAAATACCAAGGGAATATCTTTTGGAAGAGCAATTTTTCATCCCTCCAGTAGAACTAACACCAAGGCACACAGAAGACACTTTATACCAGTGTTTATTTTAATTAGTTATCTGTCTCCGCATAATGTTTAATGGCATTTAAGCTTTAAAATATAAAAGTAGATGACCAGTCAAGCACAGATGCCAAATCCTCTCAGCTGAAGCGTCTTTTTTAGTCAAACACAAGCATTTATTGTGTTTCTGACGAACACTCATTAAATCCATCTGGGATAAGTTGTAATAAAAATAAGAGATAAATATATTCAGTGGTATCATTAATCTGTTTAATAATATTATCCAACTACTAAATCAGCAAACATATTAATTCTGTGAGATAATAAGGGCTTTTATTATCTGGAGGGAAGTGCAAAATAAATAGACATCAAGTTTTACAGTTATTTTCAATAAGGCAGTCCTTTCCTCAAACCCAAATCTTCAGTTTAGCTTTAGTTTGCTCTTGTTTCCCCTGCCTCGGCTGTCAGTTTCCTCTCAGTCTGATGGTCTGCATCAGTGACTCTGACTTCTCTCTTCTTAAAAGGAAATCCATCACAGTCCACTTCACTACACTACATGAACCCATACCAGATGAATGCCTATGCCATGGCCCTGAAGGCAGTTGGAGAGATCATCCAGGACTATGACAGTGATAAGATGTTCCCTGCCCTAGGATTCGGTGCTAAGCTGCCCCCTGATTGGAGGGTTTCCCACGAGTTTCCACTGGTGAGTAAACTACGGGATTATTTTAGACACTAATGTTATATTTCGGCATCTGGTTCATTGACTTAATCTGAATCAGAGGGAAGATGATTTTGGCCCTCCCACTGGAGGTGATCCCAGGGAGTGCTCATTTGTGTGTTTATTTTCTACGTGTGGGTAAGCATGTTGAATGTGCAGTGTAGATGTGTGCATTTTGAGATAAAAGCAGCTACATCTCTGACATGCGGAGCTCAGGCTGAATTCCATTTACCTTTTATAGTGCAAATTAGGTTCTGTAAGGCTGACGGCTTCTTAAATCAATTTAGCTTCACTCAGTAATGTGCTCTGGCTGCTGCATAGTACAGCCTAATGAGGACTGTGTCTACAGGGTAATGTCTGCATCACTCCATGTTTCCATTAAAACTTGTGAATTAAGATTCATCTCAGCATATAATTGAAGTCTCTCTTTTTTTCTTGCCATACTCATGTAAGTGGGTTTAAAAGTAAAGTTAAGTCTTGAGTGAAATGTTTCTTATACTGTGTATGTTTGCTTTGGACTGTGCCTTAATGGGCAAAGACGCTAACCTTTGAAGCTAAGTTGACAAAAAGATGTCTGTCGGCTAAAACGGTGTTTTCAAAATGCCATTCAGCCCTCAACTCCACACCAGTATTTTAGAAGTACCCGTGGTACTTAAGACCACATACAGTTTAGAGGTGGGAATCACCATACATCCCACGATACGATATTATTGCAATTTTTTAAAATATTTTGCGATATTCAGATTCTGTACATAAAGGTAAACTTTATCAATATTCATTTTATCTAATATCAAAGTCTCACACTCAGTCTTTCTCTCATTTCAGTTTTATTGTTGACAAACTGAACGGTTTGTATTACAGTCTAGTCCAACTTAACTGAACGCAACCATCTGGTACAATTATAGCTATTCTGAACTATGCAGTTTATGAAAACTATGCAGCCCCTTCAGCAACTGAAGAATTTGAAAGTAAATTAAAACAAAATATAATTTTACATTAAATAAAAAAGTTTTAAACTTAATTAAAATAAAACATCTTAAATTAAAATAAGTAAACTGTCAAAAGTTAAACACATTTGGACAGTGAAGGAATGTCAGGATTCTTGCTCAGAAAAAGGATCAACATGCTCTGAAGTCAGAGCACAAAAACCTTTTTTGTAACAAAATATCGATTTCTGCTGTCCCTGTATCCATACATTATTAGCAAACAAAATATCACGATACTACACAGTATCGATTTTCCCCCCCACCCCAATACAGTTACTGCATCACTATTGTTATAATATTATTTACAATATTGATTAGCTTTGACCAAATTACAACCTGAAGTTCCTCGACTCTCCCTGCACAGTTATAAAGCAAGTGAGTCTTTTGATCTTGTTGTTATTTCTACATTTCCAAACTCCAGAACATGCAAATCTAAAGAGCTATTGGCTTACAGTAAAGAGGGTTGCAAGACTGATCGTAAAAGACATGAAAGTAGCAGAAACCTGTGATGCTTCAGTGTCAACATGTTGTCCTGAGGTACAAACTACCAAGTGCACAGACAGAAAACATGCCCACCACTAAAATTACTTAGACTTAGATCCTCCCGCGCCGATCGGCGCATCGGGCGACAAGAGAACGCCATCGACTCGGTCTATCACGGCAGTTGTTGCTTCATCCCATGACAGTTCGACTGAACGTAAATCTTCAAGGAAAGTCCTCCTCCATGTTATTTTAGGTCTTCCTCGCCATCTCTTTCCATTCTTTGGGTTCCACAGAACCGCGACACGGGCAGGTCTCGGGTCCGGTAGCCGAAGGATGTGACCGGCAAATCCACTAAAATAACATTCACAAATTTCATATTTGAGATTAGGCCAGGAAATGTATGAAGACAGAGTTTTTTAAAGGTTTTAGAACTGGTGAAATGAGAGTGCCTCTAGATGGAGAAGATGGATGTGCGTGGCTGGATCACTTATAGATATCAGACACCACTTCACCACTGGCGCCAGCACAGTGGTGAAGGTTCTGGTATGGACTGTGCTCATTAAGGATGAGCAAGTTGGAGCTTTTATACAACTCCCAGACCTTCTGCCAGCTATTGGAAGATACCACACAACACTGCAGCATTCAAGAGGGCGATGCATTTTATGTAGGACAATACTCAAGCATCAGAGCAGCTTAAGAGCTCAAGAATGACTGAATAATGACTTGTGAACCTGTCTCAGTGGTGAGTTTTACAGACAGTGCAGGGGAGTCTGTTTTCTTCTTCATTAAAAATTTATTGCAAAAATTGGAATAGCTGTTAGACCGCTGGTTATATTGGACACTGAATATTTTTAAAAGGCCTAAATGTTGTTTAATTAAATTTTCTGTTGCATTTGTTAAATTTGTAACATACAAACTTCCTTAAGCTTTTTCTTTGCTAAATATTTTTGATTTGTAGTTGAGTAAAATTGACTGAGAGCACTGCTTTTAAAAAATGTAATAAATGTAGTCCTAAATAAATAATTTTGTCTCTTAGCTGGGCACGCGGTGGATATGGTTCAGTTTGTGGCTATGATTGGCACAAAACACAACTTTAAATGAAGCTCTGTATGAATATTTGATTCTTTAATGTGTTAAGTAATTTTTTAACTACTTTTGTTTGTTTGAGGAAATCTGGCCATCCTGCCCATGCAGAAAAAGACATTTTAACCACTACCATTCACAATTAAAAGTTATGTTGTATTGTTTTAGTCATGAATGGTTTTCATACATGCACTGCTGACCGATGGGACCTGAAATGATCCTTAACCTGCTAGTCCCCTTCACATGAACTTTACTGTACAGCATAAAGATTGAACAATGTTTGATTTCACAGATGTGCAGGTAATGGTCTAGTGAACTGTTCTACTCGAGTAACCCTGGTGTCTAAATCAGAGTAATTTAAGTAGCATCACTCTGATGATTGGTGGCTTAAGCCCTCTTCTTCAGTTTCACCATCATCACACACTCAACTTATTAAAACACTAGCAGCTCTTGCTGGATGTTTCCTAGAGGTTTTTTTAAGCAAGTAGTGTTTTTTTTAAATTATTTATAGTCTGTCTTGATATATTTATATTATATAAATAATTTTATGTTATTTTCTGTGGTGTTACCTTTATGTTAGTAAATCTCTGTAGCAGGGAGGGTAGAAAGTGGTGTCGCGATGTGGTTGCTGCTAAACTTAATACAAATACAGAGCTTTAAAACAGGTAAGCTAAGCTTTCCAGTCTGGTTTGGTCCAACATGCTGCTGCTTATAAGCATAGTGACCTTCCAGCTAGCAAACATACTGGAGTATTTAGCACGTCCACTTGTATTCATCTGAAAATCTAATAAATCACTTTAACAGTTTAACACTTTAACACGAGATTAATTTTAACAGGTTAAATGCATTTTTGTTGATTGTTTGACTCGGCCATTGTTGTAGTTTTTGTACCATTTATGTCTTGTTGTTTTTCCTCAGAATGGCAACGTCGACAACCCGTACTGTAATGGTATGGAGGGGATTCTTGAAGCGTACCATCAAAGCCTTAAGACAGTTCAGCTATATGGACCCACCAACTTCGCTCCTGTTGTTAATCATGTGGCAAGGTACCAACGCAAACATCTGTCCCAGTGGATATATGACTGAGCGCAGTCGCCCTTTCTTTGAAAGTCAGTCTGTAAATAATCTTCAGCAGGCAGCCATGCCATCAGAGGCATTAGGACAGTGAGTTATGGTTTCTCTGTGAATTGAGTAGAAATAATGAAGGGAAAATAAACAATCAGCTGCCAGGCTAAGACAAATAGAAATGGTAATCAGGGATTTGTGGTGCCAGACGTTTATTTTGCAGACATATAACGTGATGAACGTGGGGAGGTAAGGCGGCGTCTCTGGGAGGGAACTTGTAAATGGTCATGCAGCCTTTCGTGACATGTATCGATGAGCCACGCTTAATGAGTTTTACTGTAAATGAGGCATGGCATTAATTCACCATTACAAACTCCTTGTCACTGCAAATAGAGTAAGTGCACAAAGTGAATTAAAAAGCTGTGCCTACAAAC